CCGACGGTCTTATCCGCGGCTAATATCCGCCACTCGTGCCGACAATACGCTGCTTCTTCGACAGCGACATCGCCGACGAAGCCGTGAACAGGTGGGAAAAAATCAGCGCGATTGCGAGAGGGTGGATCAAAGGTTGTGGAATTTTTTTTCTTTTTTCCGACGAATTTCGCAACACGTTTTGTATCCAATAGGAAAATTATCGTTAACGAATCGTCGGTAAATTATCATAATTAACGTTAACAAAGTCATCACAGTACGAGACGCACGATCTCTCCGCGCGTTCGCTTTTTTATTTTTCGTCCCTCGAGACGGCGCTTTCGGGACGTTATTCATCCGGAATTCCGCGTATTCCGAGTGACTACGAAGTCTCCCGCGACTTTGTATCCCGTCCCCCCTCGCTCGATCTTCACACCTACCTGCTCGCGTGGCTTTTCGAGCCTCGGAATTTTCGATATTAGCCGAATGCGTGCCGCCGATCTGACTGATGACGCTTTTAGCGTGAAAAATCATAGCGCGAGCGGCGGCCCGCTTTTTCGGACGCGCTTCCCACGACACCGGGGCAGTGTTTCATCGAGACAGGGCGGCTCACTTATCGTAAAGAATTCGCCGCGGGTTCCGTCGCTCGCGATTTTTTTCATATGCCCCGGGACGGTCGTCGGCGGCGGCGGCGGACGACGAAGCGGATCGCAGTCACGAGAGCATAATCTGTCACCGGTACCGCTTCCACCCGTGGTTTTCTACGGCTTATCGCGGCATCGGCTTGCATTTAATCCCCGCAAAAAACGGCGACCGCGTCTCCTCGCCCCCGTCCTTCCCCATCCTCACGGAGGGCCCGCGTAAGCCGCCCGTGTGGCGCCTGCATCCGGGCGCACGACAGCCAGCGACAATGGTGATCCTGGACCCCGGTTAGGCTCCGTAGACGCGACCGGAATCTGCCTCCTCGTGCAACGGGTGATCCGTTCGTAAGATAGGCCCCTGCTTGCTCGAATCGCTTGCCCGAAACGCCGGATAAGTTAATCGACGTCGCGCTTTTCGGGAGGACTGAGAAGAGGATCTTGAATCGGTGATCGATTCGTGTCGCAGTTAACAATATATTAACTAGAAAATTAATAATATTATTAATAATTAATATCAAAGATTTTTCTCCATATTAGAGATTCAACCCCCATAATTGTAACGCCATAAAAGAATAAGCTGCACGTATTTTGTATACACACAGACACACACACACACACACACACACACTATATGTTGGAGATCCAGAAAATGGGACACTCGAGGCTGTGGAACTAACTCGAGATTGATAGTGGGTTCAAGTCGCAATGAATAACATTAACTACGAGGGAGATTGTACTTTATTCATAATTTTCGCGGCGATACGCGATGGCGAGTCAAAAGGCGCGTCGTACTTAGACAGGAGGTTTCCCGCAACGTTGCTCGATCGAAGCTAGCCTCGCGAGTGTCCCAGCTTCCGGGTCTCCGTATTTTTGTAAAAAAAAAAATACGGGTTTGCTTATTTCCGACGGCGTTACGGATTTCCTGCCGGCGGGGGGCGTCGAGATTCCACCGCGCGCGAAATATACGAGTAGACCCCGTAAAAAATGTCTACACGATAGATCGCGAGAAACGATATTGCCTTCCTGCCGATTCTCGCGCCCGCTCGTCGAAGGACGAAATATCCCCGAATACGCGGGCTCCCGCTCTTCATCCCTCCAGCCCGCCGGGGGAGGGGGGGGGGCGAGAGAAGCGCCGTTATGATATAGCGGCTCGTAAAGGCCGGGCTCGATGTAGGAAAATATTAAAATTGAAAATCCTGAGAAGGCGCGCGCTCACGTTGATATACGCGTGCGTGATATTGGTGGCCGGCAGCTGTCCTGTTCCCGGAGGCTGCTGCGAGGACACGGGCCGCCGGGGAAAAAGAGGGAGGAGGACGGGGCAGAGAGAAAGGGTCGCGTTAACGCGCGAGTAGGCGCACACCGCGGAGAGAAGTCGGAAGAAAGACGGACGGGGACGCGGAAGACGGAGACGAAGTGGCGGAGGGGGCGCGATATTGTCTCGAAACCCCGTCTTGGGATACTGCTACTTGAAAATATCGTCGCGGGCGTAAAAGGGGCTACGCGTACGTATCCCTCGTGATGCACAGGGTGTCCCGGAAGTCGGCCGCTTTCGCGATTATTGCGAACCTGAGAAGTCTCTCTCGGTGAGCGGAGATGAGTCCTGCTTCCCTCGCGAGCTATCGTGTAGACTAAGGATTCAACATGAAGGTTGAATCTCTCTCTCTCTCCTTTGCTGAGATCCCAAGTGCAACACACCGGTGAGGAGTTCCCAAGCGAGAAAACCGCCCGGTGATCTTCGAGTCTCGAAGATAACCAGCGCAATCTCCTGAGAGTTACAGAAGGCGATGCATTACTTCCGCGACACCTCGTACATGCGTATGTTCGAAGGGATGCGTGAGGGAGCGCGCGCGAGCTAGCGTGAGCCGGGCGAGCAGGGTGTCGCGCCACTTGTCGCGAGAGCACACGTGTCGTATGCTATTGGAGCCGGCAAAAGGGTGACGCGTAGTAGTCCACGCCATACGTGCCATTTTCCATTCTATATGCGAGCGTATATATGCGCGCGTGTTCGTGTGTGTACGTGCGGCCTCGTGATTCTTTCCGACTCGCTTCTACATATACGCGCGCG